AAAGCTCCTTCCTTGTCTGCGCAAAGTAAACAGCAGCGACAGATCAGGAAAATAACATTTAGTTTCTTTGAACCTATCTACGTGACTGTACCTAAAGACCCAAAGAATATAGTTTAGTTTACAATTTAAAAAACATATGAACAATGGTTAAGCCTGGCTATTGCTTGGATGGGCGGACACCATGCAAACAGGTGTCAAGAGAGATGGGCCTGTGCTACGCGATAGGCAGCAGAGGGCAGTGCAGCCATATTATTGTTGTACTATACCTGCGTAATGAGTCACTTCAGAGCCACTAATAGTAGGAGGCATACACGTTTATTCTACACTTTCCACAGTATAGGGGATAACTATATACGGGTCAGGACAGCCGGCACACTTCCTGCACCCAACACCGACGAGGAGGTGAAGATGACGGCTTGCATTCCCAAACCGCAGCAGCCCCGACCCAGAGTCGGGGCCTCCCTTTTATCCTCCCCAGCGTGGCCTGGCTCCGCCCTCAGCCACGCCTCCTTCTGGAACCTACCAACAGGATCTGAGCTCTGCCCCACGTGTCCCCTCTGTCACCTTTACCCTACATCCGTGCCTATCACGTGCCCTACTGGCAGACCTGCCGCTGTGTATCCTCAAATGGCCCTTCACTGCCAGCAACCGGCGCTACCCACTCCAGGGCACACTTCACCTGCCCTGCTGGTAGACCAGGCTATTACACCCACGATCCCACTCTCTACCAGTAGCCAGCGCTACGTGCCGTAGTGACACATTCTATGTCACTACACCTGTATCCCACATCTATGGTGCCTACTTTCAGAAACCCATGCAGGCCTATTATGTTGCATGTAGTCAAATAACCCCTATGGTAGTGGACTGACAAAGGGCTGTGCATGTAACATATAACATGTAGTACTGCTGTTCTGCACTTGACAAAACAAAAACATACCTGGAGAATTTTGCATGTCAGGTTCCGCATTTATTGTGACCTGGCATCTGTATAATGTGATTCCGTGCATGTTATAGTCTTTGTCGAGAGGAGACTGGTAGAAACAGAGGTCTTCACGAGTCGTCCTGGTGAGCGTGGCAATTAGAGTGCACATCAATGTCAGAACCAGACTTTGCTGCTTCATTACTGGGCCGAGTTAATTTTTCGAACACAAGGGCCATATGGTGCCAGGTTGTTTTGTGAAGTTTTAATTACCTTAACTCCACTCCTGTGGTCCTAAACATTTAGCAAGGTGAAGTTTCTCATTGCAAGTGTCAGTACTCAACGGACAAAGATGAATAAGAAAACCGTAACCGTTAAAAGTGCACGCTTATTTTAATGACTCGTGTGAATAGGTTGCCAAGCAGAAACTGATGTCCTGACAAATCCATGAACGTGAATAATTTGTTAGATTGAAACTGATGGAAATGGTTATTTTTTATGTAGTAAGTATCGATATTGTTAATATCTAAACAGCAAAAATGCATATGTACAACAACAATCATTCCCCTTTGAGCATTATGTACTAGTGAGAACCAATTAAGGTCAGAAATTATGAACAAGTGGATAGTGTACCCATGAATAGCGTTTGTTGTTTATACATCACTCCTTATCATCATACCTTATCATCGTACAACGTCAACCTTAGGGAGGGCCCAGCCAGATTAATAGATAACACACCAATTCTGGTCAGTATGCATGGTCAAGGAATTCAATGGATCATAGTCTACATATATGTAAATACACATACGATTACACGCATTCAGCTAGCAACAGTTCCTCAACTATAAGCTAAACTATTTTTTATTTAACCAGGCAAGGCCCACTGATCTATTTAGCTCTTTTTCAGAAGCGACCTGGACATTACAAATGATAGCTGAACGTAGTGGCTTATCACGTGGAAATTTATAGCAGCCAAATACTCTAAAGGCATGTTTCTATATGTGGAGGTAAAACCGAAGGATTCGGATACAAATCCACGTGACCGCGGGGAGAACGCGCAAACTCCAAATATACAGCAGGCGTCAGGGTCGGGATCGAACACACAACCTCTTGTATTCCCGGCGAGGTAGTTAACATCTCCTAGCCACCGTGATGATGATGAGAGAGCGAGAGACACGCAAACTCCAAATACACAGCAGCAGGCGTCAGGGTCGGGATCAAATCCACGACCTCCTGTATACCAGGCGAGGTAGTTAACATATCCTAGCCACCGTGATGATGATGATGATGAGAGAGCGAGAGACACGCAAACTCCAAATATACAGCAGGCGTCAGGGTCGGGATCGCACACACAACCTCTGGTATTCCCGGCGAGGTAGTTAACATCTCCTAGCCACTGTGGCGCCACAATCGCGCCACGGAGTGCTTGTTCATAGATGCATCGATTACGCTTGATCAATGGGTGAAAGTTTGGTTGGGCAGGTGTGTGTGCAGCTGGCCCAAAAACAAACCACCGTGACGCTTCTCTGCTGATATACACAAAGCCAAGACACCTGCTGGAGGCAAAGGCTTTGGCGAGTGGCATTTTTTGATGAAATAACTTTAATCGCAGCATTCGTAAAATAATCAAATAAACGCTGAAAGCGCATATTAGATATGCACATAAAGCTGTATTTTGGAACCAACAGTTGGTGTATTTTTACGAGTAATAGATTAGATTTTTTTTTCCCTTTACGCATTAGCAAACCAATTTTAAAAAATATACTATCAATATGATTGCTTCAGCCAAGAAAATGAAATAAGGATAATAAAAAACCCATTCAATTATATGGAACACCCATCAGAGTAATATCAAATTCTTGTACACTTGTGATTTTTTTTAAAGACGTACGATTTTGCCAAGTGAAGAGCCCATACTTGCCCTTTTGAGCTAAAATATTCTAACACAGAGTTGGTCAACACAAATAATTAAAGGTACAGCAGGAGTCAGTGCTACTTCACTGTACTTTGGAACTGGGTGGCTAATGGGGTGGAAATTCCTAGAGACAGCAGGATGCTACCATCACGAGTGATCACTGTAATTCCTGGCATCATAAAAGACTTTGTGCGGTTTATGTGCAGGCTTTGGCGGCAGGGTGACATTTGACAGAAAAAGGATCAAGGTAATGTACCTATGAGATCATAAGATGAGAGGTCCCATTTTGAAGCCCTTAGTTGCCTCTCTGGAGGGCCTTTGTGTTTGCTTGGCAGGGCACTGAATTGCGTAAATGGGTTTCAGTTTTGAATTTCCTACCACCTCTGTTGCTTCACACCTGTTCTTTATACCACACAGGGAGTTTATAATTAGTCTAAACACAGACCTCCTCATTGCCAGTAATGGAGGGAGGGTTTAAATAGGCAAGAGAAGGGGGGATAGCAATGAGTAAGAAGAAATGGAGAAAATTAAAGGAATAATTATTCTGCATCAGGCAGGTTAAAGGAGCAATCACACCCGATCGTTTGTGGTCTCCTCCTGCTTGCTGCCGGTAATGTGGGCATAAAAGCATAATGAGCTGAGATCTGCTGATGATGCTCAGCGATGGGCCCTTTGTAGTTGAAAGCAAAATTGGTACCATGACAATCGGAATATTTGCTTGGCTTGCATGCTTGGGCAGGTCATACAAAATCATACTTTTCCAGTCTAAGAATAAAAAAATGTATTAAGAAATATTTCTTTACCATGAAATTACTCATTAGTTTACATATTTTAATGGAAGGGCTAATTTGGTCTAATCAACGTGCATACATTTTAAGAGTTTAGCGATTGTCAATGGTGAAAGCCACAGCGCGTAGGAAGAGAGAGTTCTTAGTTGGTGATCATGAGAAGCAGAAATGGTCCACGATGCCAAATTTAGTCATCGTCAGGTTTTTTATTTATTTTTTAAAGAAAAGTACGTTGTGAAAACCAAGTAGAGTAATTATAACCATTCTAATTCCAAACTGAATGTTTCATTATTATTATTATTGTTCACCAGAACAAATAATTTGTGGATTATTTTTATTTATATAAATATCAGGATATGAGGTTGGTATTGCGACCACAGGCATAAAATAATGCAGCATCTTGCACAAGAGGTGAATGCGGTGCATGAAACGCACGCACAAAATGCAGAAAAATAGCTTACTCATTGTGTCTAATAACATCCCTCGGAAATAATGGTTTTAGATTACAAAAAAAAATCACTTTCACAAAGTGACATTTTTATAGAACAAGGAACTCTAAAACAACTTAAAATTCTGGGCCATGTGCACATTCCATAGAAAAGCATATTGCATATTTAAGGAAATTCTCAAGCAGCTCCATCACATTAACATAGCAAACCGCTAAAGAACAATTTAATCTGGGCTGAGGCCCATATGGTACGTTTGGGCATATGGCTGGATAAATAAGGACAATTAGATTTGTGGGCATTTTGTATTATTTTCTAAATTATGTTTATGTTCCACAGGCCTTTTCTTACATATTAATGTCGTATGATAATTCACCCAATGATGTTCGGTATTGCAAGATTATAAGTTCGCATTTTGTATTTTAATACAATTCCATTTCCATGGAAGGAATCGTGACATTATTTTTGGAGTAAACAAACACGCATTTTTTTTCCAAATAATGTACTGAACAGATAGTTTGCTAATTTTCTTATATTCGATACTCTTAGGTTGTGCATTTTTATTCTTTTATTTTTTGCCTTTTGAAGCCAGGTTTTATAACTGAAGAGCACACACATCGTAGGATAGCGGTCATACCTTGAACATTATTTCCATCAATATTCAGCACATGGCAATCGTCAGCATCCCAATTTCTATCCAAGTAAGATCATATCACCACAATAAGAGCATATCATTTGCACACAACACATACTTGCCAAAGCAATGAACTTAACAGTACATCCATTTGCTATGAAACTAGTAAAAACCATGGATACCAAAACCATCTAGTCCATTACTTTCACTCACGATGCCACAGAGGCAATGCATGCACGGACGATAATGTTCTTTGCAACTCGCCTAACTCTGCTCCCTTATTTGTGTTTCCTCCCAGGCTGCACAGCCCCAATGCTTCCCAAGGACCTGCCTGATGTGACTGTGATCGCGTCGCGTTGCACGTCCGACTGCCAGCGCTATGGCCACTCCGACTTGTGCTGGATGCCCCCGGAGCCCGAGACCGCTCTACTGCTCGACAAGTCCATGCCAGCCGCTCCCACCCAGCACGTGCCCATCTCCCGTGCCCGCTTGCCCGCCGTCAACGCCGTCCCACTGAGCGCGGCCGCCGTGGCCTCCAACCCTAACGCCGCCGACCTTGGCACCAACGCCCGAGGCGTCCAGCACCCGGCACCGCCGTTCTCCACCTTCATGGGTCCCACGCGAGAGCGGGCCTCCAGCCGTACCCCCACCCCGGCCGTGTCCCCCACCTCGGCCAACACCGCTCCATCTGTCCCAGCTGCTGCTGCTGCTGCTGCTGCCACTGGCCCGTCCGATGAGCACGCGCCACAGGGGAACCTCTGGGAAGACCGAAACCGAAACCACCTGCTACTGCGACAGGCTGCATACGCCGCGGGTCTCGGGGGCGGCCCTGGCATTGGCATGGCAGCCTTCAGGCAGCTTTCAGATGGTGACGGTGGGAAAGAAAAGGAGTCCATCCCTCTGACGGCCACGGGGTCTTCCCAGCCTCCTCCGGCCACACCGGGCAGTGGTGGCAACAGCAGCAGCAGCAGCGCCAACCCGGCTACCAAGTATAAGCAGGCCACCGTGTCAATTGCCCCGTACAGCCGTGAGCACTACCTGTAAATGCTGTATTCCTAAAAGAAAGAAAAAAACTGCCACATATTTTGTCGTCAAGTCTGGATACAGACACAAGATCAGTGCCTGTTGTTTCAATGACAGAGAGGTTTCAGAATACTATATACATCTTGAAAATGGTTTTTCCATTATGTAGAGAAGTGTGGGTTTGGTGTGAGTTCTGAGTTTAAATATGCATTTTCAGAATTACAGGATATTCTCCACATTTACAAAAAAATAAGTGTGGAAATGCTAACTCGATTCAGAATATCTATTGAAAAAAGATGTGCAAAGCCATAAAAATGTATTCTGAAATGATATATATGTAAAGGAAATTACTGTCCCTTTTTAAATAAAACACAGCTCCACCAGATTTGTACACAAATGATAATTCATCGGTGGCCTCAGAACTGTAAAGGTATGCATGCTGTGTGTATGGAGAACATTAGTGATCTGTAAAAGCTTCATGCGTAATAATGGGGCTTTTAAAAGCACCCTTCACTGCACCTGTGGAACTTGAGTAGATTAGCAAAATACTAATTCCACAATCATCTTAATTATGTGATTGTTTAAGTATTCTGGTCTAGATATAGACAGCTTTCATCTATTCATCGTTCAACCCACATACGATTTATTGTTTGTTAAAAAAAAATGTACTGTGGCAAAACCTCCCATCGTGTAACTACAGCTTTTATACATTGTACACAATGTGTGCTCCATAATGTCCGCAAGTTCTATTTCAATTCATTCTTTACAAAAAATATATATGTATACTTGCATATATGCGAACGATCTTTAAAACTGTTTTTAACGATTCAACATTTTTGCTGCAATGGAATAATATAAAGCCACACGCCTGGCCCAAAGAAAAACTAAAATAGGAGAGTGGTGGATGTTAACACAGAAACACGCTGTGTGTAAAGAGCACATCTTTTGTCGCGTTAATGAACTATTGCCGAGAACATGGACCCAACGAATCATGAGCGAACAAAAGTGCAGTCACCTCCATGGGATGGAACGCTTCTCTGAAATGAGACGGAATGGGATCCGAAGGAAGCTGAGATGGCTTAATAGGCTGTTTCATTGCACCGGTGTGTGAAGATCTCACAAGCGTCTATGAGTGGCGAGTTTATATAATAGGCCCATGTACACACTACTTTGAATGAAATTAAATACGTTAAAAAAGAAATGAAGAAATGGGTAACTGTATATGTGTAGGCTAAAATTGTTCAAATAGTCTAAAGGAAAGTGTATAAATGACATTGAGAGTGCAGTGCTGTATAGTTCAAGCGTTGATATGCCTAACCTAGCCATCAGTTGTTGTAAAAGAGCCATTTAACTGTTGTTATACTGCTTCTGATGAATGTTGCATTCATCCTGCCCTATCTATAGCTGTTGTGCCTTTTGAGATGTACTTTTCATTAGGAAATTAAATGGAAATCGAACAATTTACAAACTGCATATATTGCCCATTGTTGATCCAATCCCTCATGGGATAGTTTGTGTTATTTTGCAAAATCCTTTTGCTGAAAGAAATGGAAAAGGGGGATTGGTAATATCCAAAACCAATTGGGACGTAACGAAACAGTTTTTATATAGCTGGGATTAAAAAAAATTATCTAACAAAAAGTTGAAAGGGTTATGGTACATTGAAACGATTTTCACAAGTCAAAATGTTTCATTTAAACTGGGGCTTGTATATTCACAGCTGTGACACATTTGGCGTGAGGGCTGCACACCAGACGTGTGTTAATATTGAACCGCACAGTTCAAACTCCTCGAAGATTTACAGAATTCTAGAGGTGGCTTTCGGCATAGAGAGATAAAAGAGAAGGCTTGCTTTGTTGTGCCCTCTTTAACACCCTGGACATCGAGGTTTATCTAAACTCTCAAGCATAGAGCACTGCATTGTTGCAGTGTTCCATCTCCTTAAGCTATCCAATGTCACAGCATCCTTTTTATACTTCCGCACATCTAGGAAAATTATGAACCATGGTGGTTGAGCGATGTCAAGGTAGAAAAGTTGTGATTTTACACAATGTCCTTTCCGTTGTGAGCTTAGGCAAATCGCTTCAACCAGACTACAGGGTACTAAACTAGTCTTTGTGAAACATGTGACTTTGATTCCGTGATGTACGCGCCCATACTTTTTTACACAAAAGACATGATATTTGCCAGAATGAGTTGGTATTGCTGAAATCATTAATCCCTGTGCATTGGCATTAATGGACAATCAAAAAATGCTTAAAACAAAACACGTTATTGCTGGGTGGAGTTGACTGAGCTTCATTGTGATCGTTCTTGCACGAGGGCCTCGGCATTATGAATGACGAATTTATTATGAGCGTGGCTGTCAATCATGAAATATTTCACCGTAAATATAGTGCATTAGGAATACAATGTGCAGACATCAACCCAAATGCAAAAGTTAATAATCCCACCCGAACATGTAATGTATATATAATTTAGTTTGTTTTGCATTGTTAAATTAAATATGTATACTAATAGGTTAGCATCCTTGGTTAAATAAAGGATATATTTAAATTAAATAAAAATCGTTGCATAAACATTGCTATTTTTTTATTAGCTACAATTTATTAAATAGTGGCTGCCGTTCTATTGTACCTAAAACCAATTTGATAATAGCATTAGCCGTTTATCGGAGGCCAAACATAAAACGTGTTTACATTCTCATTACATACTCTGGTTGCTTTTTCAGTGCGTTGTAGTTTACTTTAGAATTAAATATTGATATGTTGTGGTTTGTTGCTATTTAAATTATATACTTTTTTAATTAAATGTGTTATCCCAGATGATACATTTCCTATAAGGTTGCCTCTGGGACTTAGTATTACATTAAATTGTATTTAATGGAGCTTTAGAAGTGCATTCAAACACTGGTCAATCAAAATCAATGTAGAAACCGAGAGAAATACGGCGTTAAAATTCAGTCCTTACGCATTTCAAGGTAGTAGTTAGGATTTAACGTTCGTCATAAATGTGAATAAAACAATGCATTAGCACTTTTCATACACATCGGTAAAAAAAAACAACGAAATATTTCTGAAGCCATGCTCTTAATATTGGCCACAATCAGAGAAGCAGGCAGAAAGAATGTAGCATGTAAATAATGCACGGACATTTTTCAAATTTGACAGCCACGCTCCGTGTGGCCACCGTGTCAGCGTTGCTTTTTTATTTTTTAGTTTTGCATGACGCGGTGCAATCCCTTGGCCACGCTGTCGCCAAGTCTGGCAGGTTCCAGGCCAAACGTTGGAGCACTTGTCACGAGCACAGAGCATCAACAGCGGATGTGCTAAGTACTCATACTACGACTGATGTAGAAGAATACTGTACCCGAGTGTGGCGAATGTAAAAGCCAACACTGCACTGTATTTACATTTACTTGCAATGGTATTTTACGACAAAAGTTATAACATTGTTGCTGGTTAGTTTTAAATTAATGTGCGCGTGTAATGACATTTTTTTGGTGAACATTCCATCCCGGTACGTGAAAATAAAATTGGTCCTTTGTTGCCTGAGCATTGATAAACCTTACGATTTTTTCGTTGCATCTATAGGTGAAGGAAATAGTTTTGTTTTTTTAAACAAAAAGAAAAAAAGAGAAAAAACCCACAAAAACTGAAAAAAAAACCTAAAAAACATACCAACAGATGTGTAAACACGGCAGAAAAAGGCTGTCCAGTCAAATCTCTGCTATCGCTCTAATAGCTGATGTTTTGTTTGTGTTTTTTTTACCGGTATGTCACAAACCTGCTTTGCAAGAAACAATAAAAATGTTAAACCTGTTTGCGTGAATTTCCAGTGTGGAGACTCGCTGTGTAGTCGACTAAAAACGCGGTGCGATGGACAGCATCCATAGCAAATTATTCCTGGCCACACAGCACCACAGACAGAAACACCAATGTCTATGAAGCAAAAAAAAATGTAATAACAAAGATGCCCTTGAGAATTAAAGCCCCTATTTAAAGCTTAATTAAAGAATGATGGCTAAATGGCCATTTTTAATAAATAAAGACAGATATTCAGCGGTGCTTTTAGGAATTGTGCTTTGGGTTATTAGTTACCGTAATTGTTTCAAGTTCTCAACGAAACATCAGTGAACCTGCAAATTTAATCCGCACACATACCACTATTTTATCTCATCCACCAGTCCTGGTGGGACACTGTTAAGCTATAAAGTAACTGACGTGAACTGCTTACACGAGTGACCCAAGTAATCAGGCGACTGTTAAAAAGGCAGTTCGGGTCAATTGTATTTTGAGTCTCAAACTTGATTAGCAGTGCTGATGATGTAAAGGGCACAGCTCTCTTTCTTGTCGGACAAGGCTGGCACCTCACCCATGAAAGGTGCATACCTGCCAGCCTGCCAGCCTGCCATAACACACAATTTAAGTTCAACTTGCAGAGCTAAGGCAAGTCTTTTTAAATCCTTTATATTAAGTTCACTTTCTTGCTTGCTTGCTTGCACGCTTACGACCGTGCAAATCTTTCGGTCGTTTTTAACCCACTTCCCGTGATCCAATCGAGCTGACATTTTCCACACAGACTCGTTGTGCGTGACAATTAATTTTCGTGAAATTTTTTTTTTTACACTTTTTAGGATTTTTTTTTATATTTAATTACCAATTGCTTAATGGTGCCAGGCAATCATCTGACCCATAAGTGGCAGCCATTTCAACCCAGAGGACGAGAGGACTCTAGCCGCCACGCATATAAAGGATTTATAGTGAAAAACTTTGTTTTTACGGGTTAATTTTTTATATACTTAGTGGCAGAAAAAAACGTCTATAATTCATGGGAAAGTCTCGACAGCAGATATTGAGCACCAAATGTAAACAGAAAATTAAACTAAACATGCAATTGCATATTCTTGGTTCTTTCGGTAAAGTCACGTAAATAGAAAATAGAAAACAAAAAATAAAAAAGCTCGTGTTGCCTGCACAGCTCTTTCCCCCGCCCACTCACTTTTGAACTCTTATAAGCAGCTACATTTGGAGGCTTGCCCCCTCTTTCCTCGCCGCCTGATGAAGACCGCTTGTGTTGCGATCGAAACATCGTGGGTATTTTGCTTTACATTTATTTTTATTTTTAAAAAAATTTGTTATTTTATTTACAATTTTTATTGTGGGGTTTTTGCTTTTATTATTTTCAATTTATTAATTTCATTTTATTTGTATAATTTTTATTTAGAATTTTCATTGTATTATTTTTATTTTATTAAAGAAAATTTCAATCTACGTGACTTTACCGAAAGAACCAAGAATACGAATTCCTGCAGTCACGAAAGTGTTAAAGCAAAATGCAATTGCATCTCACGATGAAACATTCTGCCTCCAAGTCGCACATATTTGGAAGGAAAAAAATTCCATCGAATGTAATCCGCGATTTTTTTTCTAATGTCCTTCGAGAAAAAAAGAGAGAACTCTCTTCCCTGAGCCAGTGAGTGGTGCAAGCGGATGAAGCTGGCAAAAAAACAAAGAAAGTAAACCAAACGCCAGAGAAAAGACCTTGTTGTTTATTTTAGAATCCCCTGAATGATTTATGGAATATGCTCATATTTTGTAAATTTTCAACATCTGTTGGGGTAATATATCGTCACTTTTTTGGTGCAAAATAGCATGCAAAAGGCCAGATGGTACACAATTATTATGAGAGCATGTGTGAGTGCCAGATTTTACATTTATGCCACCGAGCGTACTTTGGCTGCAGAGACGGTGGATGCTTGAAACACTGGGCCATTGACCAGACTTGAAAAAAGAAGAAGAAGAAACCCCAACACAAACGCAACCACGAGCAATGCAATTAAACAAGTTCAAGAACACGCGAGATGCACGCACAAAAGCAATATCGAAAATGTTCGGAGACATCGTCCAAGCCTACGTGTTGAAAAGGAGGCATCGTGTTTACAAGTTGTTTTTCAACAAAAGGAGCCTGCAAAAACGTTACGTGGAGCAAAACGTGACGACAAAAATTTCAACGCGACTAACCTATGGCCTGTACGCGCTTTGTGTTCGCAAAAAAAAATGTTTTATGCTGTACTAAATTGGGTTGTCAGCATGATTAATGGGAATTATTTCTAAGTTAAAAGGGATTTCTCGAGCGTGCAGTATTTCTGCAAGGAACAGTGCACCGGTGGCTTTGCCATTCGTGCTCAACAAGCGTGTGCAGTAATCGAGGCCGTTCGCATCTCCATCCACCGAGGCAGACAGTTCTACCTGAGTTTGCTACCTGCTGGGATAAGCGCGTTCTCACAGGCACTGAAATGACTGCGCACCGTCAGTGAATTAAATACTGCAATCGCTTTGATTGGGGGGTATGATTATACGCAATTTGGATGCATCAAGCAATTGAGCTTCTGACTGTTTGGCACCCTAAGAGATCACACAGAGAGAAAGAGCAATGCATGGAAATACCTTTTTGCCGCACTCTGCTGCGCTCTTGCTGTGCATGGTGGGGTTCAAATTTGCAGCTGTTTGTGAGATGGCCAAGTCCAATTACATTGTCCAGGAGAAGGAAAACCTGTATCACGGGCAGCAAAACAAGTCTCGGGAGAACGCGCGTTGATGGCCACTGCCTGCAGCCTCCCAGAGTCACAAAGACACAACTCACATAATGGTAATCCAGCCTTTACTGGATGTAGCATTAAATGTGTCTCGAGAGTGAAATTCTCTGCAGACTAAAGTCATGGGCACTTGCAGCCTTTCTCCTTGCGAGTGAGTCACGCTTGATTTTGATACATTCGGTTTTGAGGAAAAAAGCAGGTTGTGCGATTCTCAGCAATGAGAATAATTTACATTTGCAAGGCGCATGTCATCCATACATATCCCAAATGCACCCGTGCAGCATTGGATTTATCCACATTTGGAAATAATCGGCAGCATTTAACTGGATAGCGTTAAATTCGTAATGGGCGTCATACTTTAAACAAGAAGGCAAAAGTGTAAACATAGTTGTTCATTGGGCCTAGTGTCAGGTATTTTAAAAAAAAATACAGGGTGTTTCAACCTTTTGAAACACCCTGTATTTTAAGTGAGGTGAAGGGCAGATTGCCTAACGTGACTTTGTTGATACGTAAAATCAAATGCTCACACCTGGTCAGCCTAATATCACGAAACCACCGTTGGTTATCCCAAGGTTTCTGACCAGCAATGCGAATAATAATAATTACGGTTTTTTATCGTGCCTTTCATTTTACAATCTCAAGGTGCTATACATCAATGGCAATGGGTGGGAGTGGGGGAGCACGACATAATAAGTGGCTCAATACTATTCTTAGTTCTTTCGGTAAAGTCACGTATATAGAAAATAAAAATACAATAAAAAATCAGTTACATTAAAAATAAAAGCAAAAAACATACGACGTTTCGATCGCAACACAAGCGGTCTTGAAAATAGGATTTTCATTTTCAAAATAGAAAATATGATTTTTTTTTCTCTCCGCTTGATGAAGACCGCTTGTGTTGCGATCGAAACGTCGTGGGTTTTTGCTTTTACTTTTTTTATTAAATGTATTCTTAATTTTATTTTTATTTTCTATATACGTGACTTTACCGACAGAACCAAGAATATTAATTCCTGCAGTCACGAAAGTTTTAAGTAAAGATTTCGCTCAACCACTGCCAACTATTTAGACATGTCACCATTGGAAAATATTGTCATATGTCAATAACGGAGGTTGTCGTGGTGTTATGGCTTACACACTGGACTTGCAATCCAGAGGTCCCCCCCCCCCCCACTTTGCGCAAGAGCGCATAAGTGTGGTTACCACATCTACGCCTCTATGTAAGGAACAAATCAGGTGGACTTCTCCACAAATCTGGCTGTTGCCTGATGAAGCTAATTTTAATTACTGGCGAAACGTCGTACTCAGATTGTAAATGTTGTGGCTTGGCTCTCCAACACACCGGTGTGCTGTACTAGTGACGAATTGGCCACGTTCTGTTTACGTGACAACCCTTACTAGTTGGCTGTGTCGGATGGTGGCGGGTTTTAACGACACATTTATATACTTACGCGATCTCACCCAAAAAGAAAACCTCTATTATGAATCCAGAGGTCGCCACAGTTGGGATAACGGGCAATCATCTACCCCCCCCCCCGCCCCATAGTTTGTGCCCACCCAGCAGTATAAATGACAAAATGGATAAGCAGGTGATGTCTCGCTTCGTATATCTGTCTCTCCACGTCAACTAGTCAACGTGTTGTGTGCACTGCCCATCGGGCCCCGCCAGGTTGCGTGCGGTATGGGGTAAAGTTGTGGGCACGCTCCGACCTCCTCCGAAGTGGTCTGTTCACGCCACCCCTTCTGAATCGCAGCAGCCTCACTCCACGCCACAAATGCCAATGAATGCGAGGGATGGAAGCGAGAGTCTGGACTGCGGCCGACGTTACAACAACAAAAGACATCTCGTGCAGGACCCTACCATCGAACCTCCCGGTTTCAACCTTCCACCCGGCCAATGGATGACCATCAACCGAGCCAGCAACGGGGCATGCAACCAATGCGGCCACCTGATGCACAAATGGCACCATCAAAGATTCGGAGTGCGGCCACGAACCCCAAACCATTGACCCACATCGCAAACTCTCTGCTGCTGCCGCTGCAGTCTTCACTCCGTTAAAGGAGGAACGGACGAGACTCACTCTGCTTCAGAACAGACAATTGAGTGGATACCAAATCTGAAATTACATCTTTAATCTGATGCAATTAATCCATGCTAAAGAAGGAATACGTGTGGAAGGGAAGGCCGCGTAGGAGACTCCCTAGAGCTCCCTCTAATGGACGC